AACACGAAAGGTGCGAAGCCGTTGGGCGTTGGGCGCGGTACAAAACCGGGCGTGCCTAAGATCGGCGCTAATCGGACCACCACGGTGGGCTCGCCAATCTGAGCGAAGCGAACTCCATATCGTGCGTCGGTCCACCGGGTGACAAAGGGAAAAGAACACACACAGGATCACATAGGATTCTATGGATGAGCAAGCGGGCTGATACTTTCTACATCCTTGTATGACTTAGTTTCCAATTCCAAATAGCCTTTGATACATTCAAACAAAAAGTTCATCCTGATCTAAGGTGGGTCTTCGCTGGGCCTTTCGATGCTTTCTGAGGTCCCCAGACCGTGAGACATTTCCGCAAAGGCTTGTTGCAGCAAATCTTCCTGTCACATACCGCAATGGAAGAACATGCCTTTTCGGGTTTCAGTTTTGGGCTTCATTAGGAGGCTAGAGCGGCTGGAGCCTCCGCAAAATGGGTTTGACCTGCCAAGGGCATGTCTGCCTAAACACTGGGTGAATTTTGTTCTATGATAATTGCGGTGTTCGTAAAGGTCTGGTTCAGTGATTGCGATTGGAAAAGGTCACTGTCACCTCTTGCAAATAATCAAGTTAGGATGATGGCCATGGAACAATGCAACGCATCCAATCCGCGAACGCCAAAGGGATGAAAAATTTCACTTCCCTACTTTGGAGTTGCACAACCTACGATTTAAATTGCATGACGATGAACGGCAAATTTCCGAGATCATCCTAAGATCCACCCATCTGGCCAACGGTGGTTGAGAATATTTGGTGTGATGGTGTGATTGGTCCCACTATCTTCATAGGATAAACAAAGACTTATCGCTTGCTACTTGTCCCTGGGATAAACAAGGTCACGCCCGCTGCAACGGACCCGCGCGATTTGCGCGTTCTCACATGCATCTTCGAGTCGTTTATCACAACCCCTCTGGCACTTTATGGCGATGCCTTTTTAGGTCAATGTCAATGTCATTTTGAATGTGTGTTTACACCACAAAACGCCTCTCAAATCGTAGCTCCATTGTGAAATGACAGTGCGTTCGGGGACCCGGAAGTTAAAAAATAACGGATCTTTAATCGTTTCTCTTTTTTTCATGAACCTTAACACACTTCCACTCCCTCAGGCGTGCCACTCCTTTTCACCCGTTCCACTCCTTCTGTGCTATCTGACCCAACTTCTGCAGTTGGTGCTTAGGCGGTGTATTGCAGCGCCACACAAAGCTATATATATAAATATATATATATTTGGATCTGTGCATTCAATCCGCCATTGGGTCGTTTGGATGCCAACTCTTTCGGGATAAACTTCTTCAGGGATGACCATTTGCGGTCAATACATTGGGTGCCATGCGTTTTCCGACCACGCGCTTTGCGCGTAAACTCCATCTTCACATGCTTCACTTGGAACCATTTGCGCTTCAAAACTTTCCCAACCCCAACTTGGTTAGCAACGTAGCATCAACTTGGTTTGCAAGCGCAAGCAAAAGTTAACAGACCCCACCCCATCCCCACCCCACCCCATCCCCAACGTAG